AGGCTTCCGTAGTCCCGTTTTTCCTTCACAGTAGTGTTACACTGTTGAAGACCCTGTGTGTAAGGAGCTGATGTGCGGAGACCAGAAGGCAATGTCTGTGTTTTATTGTCTTCTGCAGGAGCAAATAAATGCTGAAAAGATCAGTACCTGAGTCGACTGCCTCCATGCCCTAAACACATCTGTTACACTTCTACTACCAGACTACTAGTATTTCTACTGCTATTAATACTACAACTACTACTAATGTTATTACAAGTACTACTATGGCTAATAGTATTAGTATTACAGCTGTTTCTACTGCTATTGATTCTAAACCTACTGTTACTGCTTCTACTGCTAGTACTACTAATACCACAATTACAACTATAACTAATACTACTACTAATATTACTACAAACAATTTAAACCTCTTTTTATTCATCTCAGCTTTTGTTATTTCTGTACTTTTTGAAATTCAATTAATCTCCTACAACTTCTGTATTTTTTAGAAAATCTATTGAAATTCAGCTTTCCCACTTCCTGTATTTTCAGCAGTTTTTAAAAATAATTTCTGCTTTTGCTATGCCTCTATTAACAGCAATGTTTTAATATTCATTTCTGTATTTTTTTTTGCGAGATTTCCCATTTATTTCAGTTATTTACATTTCTGCTTTTTCAGCAAATCTATTGAAATTTCTTTCAGCTTCTCCCATTTCTGTATTTTCAGCAATTTCAAACTAATTTCAGCTTTTCTAATATCTGTAATTTCAGCAGATGTATTCAAATTCCCTTCAACTTTCTGTATTTTCAGCTATTTTTAAATATTCATTTCAGCTTTCAGCTTTTTGCATTCCAACGCATTTTCAGCAGGAAATGCCTTTTCTAGTTCTATAATGCGTCAGATAATATGTGAATCGGGAGACCCACTTACGTGGGCGACTGTGGGTGAGTGGGGAGCACGGTTGTCCTCCAATCAGAGGGTTGTCGGTTCGATCCCAGGCTCTGCTAAACCGCATGTCGATGTGTCCTTGGGCAAGACACTTAACCCAACGTTGCTCCTGTGGGTGCGACTACAGTGTGTGAATGTTAGTTACTGATGGGAAGGTGTCACTGTGTATGGTTCTCCTCTCATCAGTGTATGAATGGGTGTGAATGGGTGAATGATGTCATGTAGTGTTAAAGCGCTTTGATTGGTCAGAAGACTAGAAAAGCCCTATACAAGTACAGTCCATTTACTTACTTCTCAAGCCTTTTGCTGCTAATCTGACGATACTCAAAAGAAAGTTCTCTGGCTATAACAAAGCGCCACATGTTCTAAGAACTGTCACGGTAATCACATGGTCATTTATCTCAAATCCAGGAAAAGAGTTTATTATTAAGAGACAATTTAAATGTCAAGATCTGTGGGATGTAAGCCTTGAGCTGCAGTTAGAGGCTGCTTTGAGGGCTGACTGGGAGTGAGTGGTGTGATCGCGGTGCTCCATACACCATAAGGTCAAACTGACACTCCGCGGATGGGCCCGTATGTTTAACACGTTCAAGATGTTTCTCTCATCGTTATGACTTTAGATGTGGGTGCAGATTAGCCAGGAAAGCATGTGGTCTAAAATGTGACTGGATGAAGTGACTGGATGAAGTAGAACATTATATATATATATATCTATGTATTATATTATATATATGTTAGTACAAAATAGCAGGCTGGTATTGGTATTTGAACGCACAGGTTTCAGAGCGCAGTGGTAGTCTGAAAGGGCCGCTAACCACAGCCAAACCTGACAGGAAATAAGGAACGTTGGATGGGAAACGAAAGGTAGATAATGTTGAAAATGTTTAACTTTAGTGCAGTTATTTAGAACTGAGGGCTCTTGAAATAGGACACAAAAGCCTTTTGTAATGGGCCCGACATTCATTTTTTTGGGAGGGCAGAAGAACACCCCCCTTTTGTTTCCATCAGTCGAACAAAAAGACTAACAGTAATCTTACTGTAACATTGATTGATTTGAACTTCCATTTCGTTTGGCACAAACAATGACTGCACCACACAACTGAGTCTGTGGAAGAGGAGGAGGATGAGGAGGAGGAGGAGGAAGAGCGGGGAAGACCCAGACTTCACGTCCCACGGCAATAGTCAAAAGTGGCGACTGTATTACTCTAAACCTGCATGTACCCAAAATAACCCCTCCGGCAAAGAAAATGCGTGCATGCAAATGCACACAAAGAAATCAAAAGAGATAACATTCATAAATCCCCCAAAAATAGTTACAGTTTTATTATGAAATGATAGAGGAAGTTTTTCGTAAAAGGAATTTTACATTAGTTATGTTCATCGTAAATATTACACTCATCATTACAGCTATCTATCTGCATATCCCACTAACATAGGACATTCTGTTGTCATGTTGACATGAGTCCTTCTGATGCCCCCTTACACTCTGGAATGCTTCAGTGTGGACAGAGTAACTGCTCCTTTAGTTCAGCAATCTGAAACTATTGAGCTAATAGGTTTACTTTAGAAAGTAAACGGACTGCACTTATACAGCATTTCCTTACACCGCATCTCTTCTTCTGCCAATAAAATCCAATGAAAAGCCCCAAACTGATTTGTGTGCATGTGTCAATGCCTGCTATGTCTTCTTCCTCCCCGCCATACAGCAACATTGTTCTCCAGAAAATATTGACTACACATCAGTGAGCCACACGGGGTGACTTCCTTTCCATGAACACATGTTACCGTTTACTGTGAGTAAATCCCACGCACACCGTTCTGCTTTCACGAATGCTCCCTGGAGCTCTGAACATGGGGGAATACGCTGGTGAAAATAGTGCCCCAATAAAAGCACTATTTCCTCCTGTTTGAGTATAATTTGACAAAAACTAGAGTGTGTGGCACTTTTTCAAAAATTACAGAGCCTTCACCAAAACTATAAAGAAATCAAATATTTAAAACCCACTTTTTAAAGATGTCCATTGTTACAGTAACACAAATTGCAACAACACACATTTTTTCTGTCTTTATTCAATCTTTTGACAATAAGAAGAATGGAAAATATGGCCAAGCTCATTTTTTAATGGTGGTCCGTGGGCCTTTATGCATCAGCTATGGTTCATGTTCTTCTTTCTATTATGAGTGGACTAAGCCTTTATATTAAAGTGTGTTTGGTTGGAATGATGTTGGTCTGACGACATATTACATCAGGTTGTATCATGTCAGGCTTTATGCCATAATATATTCTGTTAGTTGCATGTACCTGCACGCAGCTAATGGAAAAGTCGTGGATGAAATCAACCAAACTAAACTAACTAAGTGTTTCTATCCAGGACGAATGGAAACCTCAGGACGTGTTTAGATGCGTTTTATCTTCCACAGCGCCGGTATGACAGGCAACGAAGTGGCAGTAACAAACTATGAAGTGCAGAGGCACCCTGGTCTCTGTCTGCTTCCAGTGCAACACCGCTGCCCGTCGGGGTCAAGGCTGACTTTATACCCGTTTTGGTGCCTCTCACCAAATGGGATCATCTGCCTTAACACGTTTTGATGAGCTCCCTCCAAAGCAATATACTTCCTTCGAGTGGCGGCAACAACGCTGCGGGGCCGAGGCCGTCGAATCAGCGAGCTGTGCCAGAACTCACGAGGCCCGGCCAAGTCTCAGCTTGCCCGCGCCGGTTTCACTCGTCAAAACCCACCAGCCCCATAAAGAGAACTGAGTGTAGCGCTCACTTGAGTTGACACATCCTGTGGAATGTCTTGATGGTGGATTTAAGTGCTTGAATCATCCAGGCGCACTCTTGTGTAATGTGTGTGTGTGTGTGTGTGTGTGCGCGTGTGCGTGTGTGCGCGTGTAACCTTCAGAAACACCATTAGGATCAGCAGCTGGGTGCTGATATGCAGTGTTTAAGTCTCTGAGAATGTACAGCTAACGGTGGCTCTACTGTTGCGTTTATGTTGAGTTTTAATACCTACGTCATGCTGTATGTTCCATCTTTTTTCTGTTTTCAAATTCAACGCTTTACGTTACTTTAAACCTGCTTTCATGGATTTGTTTTACTCTAAAGTCTAAGTGACCAAATTGGGCTTAATATAATGAGTCAAAGTGCATTCAATAAAAGTGCTTGTTGTTGCCATTGATCAGCTCACATTGTTATTAGTGTCTGAGGATATTATGGACAGAACCATACCATCCCCTCATCCGGCCGGCTTGGTATTGGGTCATGTGACACCAGTATGGCGGCAGAAACGTCAGTTGGAGCTCCAGAGAGAGGGATGGTGTTATTAGAGTTTGTTGCGAACGGAGACAGGATTAAGCAAAAGCTGAAAAAATGTAGAAAAAATATTGGTTATTCTTTATGTCCTTTAACCATGAATCGTATTCATTATGACGAAAAAGACAACAACCTGTTCCCTGTAATGAACTACCTTCTGCTCGTAAATGTCTTAAAATACAGAAAACCCTCCCGTTTGCCTCTTGAGATATTGAAAAGAAGTATCATCAGTATCAACATGTTTTAAAACGGTCCTAGTTTTTGTGGATGGTCATTTGATGACATCTGTCTTTTGTTACTAATAGATAGTAACAAGGATGCAGGTGGAATACAATACACTGCACTTATAGACTACAATTGAAATGATTCATTGTTAACGTGACTTTTCAATTTTGTGACCACCACAAACTAAAGTCCCTTTGCACCTTTGTTGTGATGGTGGCGGCTCATGTGATGAATTAAAAAAAAGCTACTAAGTTGATCTTTAGTTTAAAAGATTACATCAAAAAATACAACAAACATGCCAAATACATGTTAAAGATGACTGTGCTGTATCCAGTCATCCCTGGGTGTGATGAAGTCGCGAAACAGATCAGCCACACTGATTAGCTGCAGCAAAAGTCTGTGAGACCAAAAAATATATAAAATGAATATACATTACTTTTTTGTCAAGACAAGTGCAGCAGTATCAAAAAAGAGGAACACACACACACGGCATTGTAACCTAGTGTCAAAAGCGTGACATTAAACAACAAACATTAAATTATTATTTTTATTTACCACTTCAAAGCTTAACAATAACAGTGCATTAAAAAGACAATTATCGTATCCCAATGAGAAAATCTCTAAAATGCGTTGTCTTAACAGCTTTTCAAAACATACTTGCGCGTCAATAATGTGGAAGGACAAGAGAAAAGAAAGAAAGTTGTCTTTAGGGATTGAGACTGGAATAACACACGGTTATTTCGCTGCTAGTGTTCCACATTACGTAGAGTACAATATACTACATAGTAATGAGGAGAGAAGAAGACATAACATCGACAGGGGAAGGGTGTGAAAATACATACGATTTTTAAAAAAAATCTCCAACGCCAAACAAGGCACCATCCACACGAATAAAGGCGTACATCATTATCATTCCTGTAAAAAGAACAAAGCAAGGAGACACATATGCGCAAGCGGCATCGTCTTCATTCTATCGAACGCAGAGCCACATTTAGTAAATAGTCAGCACGTTTAGAGAGGAAAGAACAAGAAATAATGTGTAGTGACACCGGTTTTGTCTAACAGATGTCCCTGTTCTACAGCTACTATAGTTAAGGCAGAGGACAGTTAAGAAAACATGTGCATTATCCATCAACGCATGTAAATAATAAATATGATCATATAGTATCCATATACATGTATACAGTATATGCATTTCTTTACAATAGTTTCATTTAGAGTACATTTTTGACCTCAGTGGAAAAGGATGAGATAAGAGGAGCGCTGTTTCGTACTTTTGAATTCAAGTTCTACACAATACACCCATCAACATCTACTAGAAGCTGAGAACTGCAGAAACTGAAGCATCCTCAGTGAAAGCTGTAGTCTGGGATTTTATTTGAATTTCTTTTTTTTTGCATAGGAGTTGTTTGACAGTAATTTGTCAATTGCTCAATAATACTTATAACCATAATACACCACCAGAGAGAAATTGTCTGATAAGCAGTTTGATTTTACAATACACATATGAAAGGGAGGAGAAAACATTTGAATAACTGCTGGTTCGGATTCCTCCCCAAAAAAAAGGAAGCAGAGCACGTCCCCACGGATTTGCGTACTACTAAAGCGACACAAATTTAGAAGAGCTCCCTGACAAAATATTTTATGTCTACATCATGTAACCTAGAGTTTGGTTTTAAAGCTGCATGTATTGTCATTTATGTGTTAACAATTGATCAAATCACTGATGTCACAGTGTGAAATGCACAGAGAAGGATCGACTCTTCGGTTCCTCCCAAAATCTATTTAGGTTTTCAAGCCACACAAAACTTTGCTCTTATCCAGCAGCATCCAGCAGCAGGAAAACTAGCTGTCAATCCAACCCGTCCTCCCTCACAACACAATTACCATCCCGGGGGCGGTGCCCACTTGGCGTCAAAACGTGTGGAAAGGGTTAGGTGGATGAGGCCCAGTAACCCGGGACTTTCACCCAGGAGAACGCAATCCATGTCCTGTGTGAAACCGGCATCTTTTTATACCTCATTCACAATACCAATTACGCAACAATAATATTTAAAGCCCACTCTTTTTAAAAATCCTAATGCCGTCATTAAACACGAAAATCAAGCACCCATGGTGGAAGTATATTTTGAAAAGACCCTATGTAACAAGCGTAGAGTCACTTACCATCTGTGGCACTTTGACGAGCTGAATCTAATTAATCTAATGAGCAATCAAGCTGCTAAAGAGTCAGATATTTACATGAAGGAGTTGGAGACCAAAGCAGATCTAATGTGTATTGGACCAAAGTATGACTCATACACAACCTTATTTGCAAATACACGGACATTGTCTTTGTGACATGAAAACTGAACTTCTGCGAGACTGTAGTAAGCCGACTGGTGCAGAGACGGACCCAGTAAGGGACAGCAGGGATCACTGAGGAGTCACTGAGGAGACTTAGAGACGCATCTTAATATCAATGCATGAAATATTCTGGAAACAATATTGATAATTTCTTACAAAGGCCAGTTCTCGTTTCAGCCACAAGGTGTCAATGTGTTCTTATCCTACTGCAGGCCACACATCTGGCCCCTGCAAACCCTGCTGGCTCCACTTCTGTACTGCCAACACGCAGTTACAGTCGAGTCAATGGGAGCATTCTGCAATACAATCTGCCTGATGGCTGGTCATGTGACCGAGCACGGCCAGTGAGAATGGAGCAAGTTATGGGGAAACAAAAAAGGATCGACGTGGGATAAAAAAATACAAAAACTACCTCACTTTTACTTGTGCAGGGAGGATTGTCTCACTTCAGTTTGCAGATGCTTTGATTAAACAACAATATAGCAATACAAAATAAGTCTTTAAGAGTAAAAGGCTTGCAATAAATCCTACTATGGTATCTTCTGCTGAATTTACTTAAGGCATTAAAAGTAAAAATGTCTTACTACGAAAATGGATTTGCTCTTGTGAGGTGCAGCTACTTTGAAGTACTTTATATAATCTCGGCAATTCAATTTAAGAGCACAAAAGCTTCAATCTTTAATATACAATTCTGGCTATTGCTATGTCCTAAACACTGTTATGGCACAAAGAGTATTTTAACTTTTCTATTTCAAATGTTTATCTAACATTTGAAATAGAAAAAGAACTGACAAGGACTTCAGTGGTGGCTGCACTCAAATTATAATCAAATAAAACTTGATTATTCCAAAAACAAAATGAGGCGCTATTTGTGGGGATGAATACATCATAATTTACATGTGAACTAGTAACTAGTACTTCCATCTCTTAGATAAATGTTATGGAGAATAAGTATTACATGAAAGAGTGAAAAGGAGAAAAGTTAAGCACCTGCACCTTCAAAATTGTACCTTACAGCTGCATGTAAGCTTAGTTAACTCCTAGCCAGCGGCGGCTGGTCTGTAGAGGGCAATGGGGCGTGGCCACAAAAAAAAAATTATATTAAAAATACATTTTACAAATGAGCTCCAGTCTCAGCCAAATGGCTGCAGGGTCGGAGTGGAACAGAATGAAACTCATCCACAAATTAGTTTTTACAGTTCTCTGCAGGAACGTCTAGCAGTCAGTGCCATCCTAGTAACGCAAAGGATAACCACCATGCATAACAAAGCATACTGTACACACACACATGCACACACACTCACAGGGCAACAATGATAACATTGAAACCTTTAAAAAATTGGACATCAGGCATATAGTTTGATGTGTGTGTGTGGTGGGGGCCACACTAATAGCTGCCCTGTACATTTAAATGCGCACAATCGTGTTCATCAACCTTGAAAGTGTGGAACTGGCAGCTCCCGAACCAGAAAAACAGTCTGGAGCTGCTGGCCGCCAACGAGAAGAGTCCAACATCCTTGAAAAAAGGCTGCCGTTGTCAAGGGAAACAGAGATCTGTCGAATCTTAGCTAGGTAGCGGAGTGAATCAGAATATACAGAACTGACTCCCTCTTTTTTCACTTCCCCATATCTAGGTAAAGAGAGGTCTAACCACAGAAACCCTATCATAAGATTAAGTGAAATTTTTGCATTTATTATTTCCCTGAAATTACATCAGTTTAGGTGCTGATTTTTTTTGTTTTTGTGTAGAAACATGTGTTTTTTTTCTTCAAAAGTACAGGGTTAGCTTAAGCTCCCATTTTGATTATGAGAGAGATTCTCATCTCTAGTGTAATCTGAAAAAAAAAGGGCTTTTCCTCCTGCGTTTCCTTCCGTGCAATCACTTCTACGTGTGTCGATATTTCCAATGACTTCTATTAAGGTAAACTAAGCAAATAAGGGTAAAACCCCCAAAAATAATTACATTGAGAAAAAGTAGCTATATAATGCACTTGTATAAACAAAGATGCGATTTGATCCTGGCAAGGAACGGTGTGTTTGTAAGTGCTGTGGTTCTGAGTCAGTGTGAGACACCTTCACATCTGTCTTACATTCTAATCACCAGCCGGAAGTCATGCTAGATTGTCTTGGCTCCGATGTTGCCGGGTCGTTGAAGGCCGTCAGGAAATGAGGTCGAAAGTGAGCGAGGGCTGAATGACGGGGGGGACGCAGGGACGGCTGCTGAGGTTTTGATGAAAGGCTGGAGGGTAGTCCTGGTTCAGGAGTGACGTGGCGCCTCAGTAACGGTGGGTCTGGTGGGAGTAATGGGAGCTCTGCTGGGACGATGACGAGTATCCCATGGTGCCTTGGGGCTGAGTGGAACCTTGGATGCTGCTTTGGTAACCAAGGCGGGAGCCAGAGAGCTGAATGAAAGAGAGAGAGGAGAAAACACGTCAGTGAGCACCTCAAACGATGCAACTTTAAGCAAATTGCTAGTGCTAATCACTAGTAATTTGACTTTTTGTATGATCATGTTTTGATGTGCTATGATTAGACTGAAAAATACAGTATGAAACCTTATTAATATTTGTGAATTTGAGTTCATATGCATGGTAAAAAAAAAGTGATTTACAGTGATTTACACATGAACATCAATTAGCATAAGCAATGCAGAGGCTAATTGAAAGAGTAAAGGTTCTAATTAAAAATTAAAAATACTAGATATTTGTGTATGCTTGAAATGAAAAAAATGGATTCCTTAATAATAAGATCCCTATTACTATGGGAAATATAGGATACAGAGTTTTTGAGGCCTGACCCATTTATATCAATACATGACAGGGTGAGCGTCTAGATGCAGAGCGTTATATAAGTGTTATAAAATTGCCCATCAGATTGATAGTCAGATTTTAGCGTAGTCTATGTGTAAATTACTACTTCTCACTTGCTTTATTTCCTCAGTACACATGAGTTTCTCCTCTAAATGTCTAGTTTAATCTCTTTTCAATGCAGCATGTTCATTTTGTACATCATAGTCTATTTAGATCCAATTAGACCAGAAAGTGAGTATGCTTGAGGTGTCTGTGAGCCGCTCGTCCACATTAAAATTATTACAACCTATGTTCATTGGTAGATATAAAACGCCTGTAAGGCGAGCTTGAGGCTACGAAACGCCAGTCCACTAACCAATGAGTGACATCACAATTAACATGTCTTTTACATGGTCTATGCTTAACAATAAGTAGAGTTATGATCAAATTGTATTGCAACAAATTTGAACACAAAAGTGATTCTTATTCATAAAATATTAGAATACATTACAAATGTGGGAATTATAAATGGGAAATGGACTGTACAATAAGTGCATTCAACCATAGGGATACAAACTCAGAAGAGCAAGAAACAAGAAAGTGCAATTTCCTCAAATATGCCAATTTACAATTTGCTATAGATATGTACAATTTAAGTTCTACAATAAGTTAGTCTTTTAGTCGAGGTAGAGTCTCAAGAGGTGTGTCTTTAGTTTGCGGCGGAAGATGTGAAGGCTCTCTGCGGTCCTGGTGTCATCAGAGAGCTCATTCCACCATTTCGGAGCAAGGACAGCAAAGAGTCAGTTTAACACTACATGACATCATTCACCCATTCATACACTGATGACAGGATCTACCATACACAGTGACACCTGCCCATCAGTAACTAACATTCACACACTGTAGTCGCAGCTACACGAGCAATGTTGGGCTAAGTGTCTTGCCCAAGGACACATCGACATGCGAGTTAGCCAGGCCTGGGATCGAACTGCCAACCCTCTGATTTGAGGAGGACCGTGCTCCCCACTCACCCACAGTGTAATACACTATTATCCTTTGAAGAAATTGTCAGAATCTGACACATGAATTATTATAATACTTATTAGTCATAAAAATGCTTTATAATGTGTTGTGATTATTGCTATAAATCTTATAAATGCTTAGAACTAAAACAGTACAGTATAGTACTGTAAGCAGATTTGAGTATGTTTAAAATTAATTACAGACAGATTTTTTTTTACCATCAAAGACAACAAAGCAATTACGTGTAAAGCTGGACATCTGATATCCGTCATAGGGTGACAGGAAGACAGGACCCTGCTCTGGTCACAGTGTGCTCTGTGCATCTACTCAAGAGAACCGTTAGAGGGTAGTGTTAGTGTTGGTGGTGGTTGGGGGAGGGGGATGGGGTCGGCAGGGGGGTCAGCCTGTGTAACAAAGGATCAATGAGTGTGAAGAAGTAGGACGCTGGCATTCTACCAACTAACAAACCTGCTGGTGTGTCGCAGCCTTATACAGACACGAAGGAGAGGTTATCACAGTGACCTCTTTCCCCACTGTGCTCCGTGCAGTTACACTTACTGACACACCGGCCTTCCCAGCCGCTTCCCTCATTTGATTGCAGTCTTGCCCTCACTTTGAAATGCCCCCGAGAATGAGAGCCAAAGATAGAACTGAGTACCGAACCAAAGCTAGCGGCCCGCAAACTACAGGGATTCCCTATTGTCTGTCAGCAGGACAAAGTGGAATGTGTGGTCCTTATTAGCAAGCTGCTATCCTTTGGTGTGTCTACGTCTTCCACGAGAGTGCCCCAACACACACATACGCACGCAGATGCACACTGTAGAGAATGCTGCAGACTTTCCCAAAGACCAAGGTAAATTTATTAAAATTGTTTCTGCCCAAAACCACAAAGTATGGAATTTCCACATTTGAGAAGCTGGAGAGTATTTAAATGAGTTATATCAGTGATATCCAAAGTTTCTGCTCGTTAATCAATACCACTTTCACATTTTACACAAATCACAGAGCAATCACACATGGATGTATTCTCAGCTCAGTGACAAGCCTCCCATTCTGCTGATGTCCCCTGTGCACCCGGATCCACATACCTTAACATTTGCTCTAAAGCTCTGTGGGTCTCACCACACTGAAATATCTAACACTTCTAAATATCTAACCACTCATTTATACTTTATTTGTTTCCTCATTGTTTTATTTTTGGAAGCAGACGTGAGCAGCCAAACACCGAAGGATACATTTTAAGGCAAACAAAAATGTTAAAAATATCTTTTATGAAGTGAAAAAACAATGTGAAGAAACTAGAGATTGACCAGAGGACGCTGTCTTGGTTTAATTAAAGAGAAAATGTATTTCACAATATTTTGCTTGTTGCTGCATTGAAAGATTTTTTTTAAATTTTATTTGGTATACCGAATAACTAAGCATCCAAAGAGGACCAATCATAGTTCTTGTAGTCCCCATGTGGTCTCTTCCTGAAGGCTCTGCATTTACAAGCTAACCAACTAATCGTCTTAATACCTGTACCGTGTTACATTATCTGTACCTGGATGGTCAAAAATGGTCTCTTTTAAATACTAAACAATTGCAGAAATGCAAAAACAATTCCTGTTGGTGGATACATTCATTGTTGGTCTGGGTCTGTTTTATGGGAATTATCATCAGCCAATGACCTCCTTCTAGAGATGACTCCAACTAACCTGGTACTCCGACTGTAGCAACCCAGTGCCTGAGGAGGCCCCAGAGGGCCCAATCCGAGGTTTCTTGTTGTGGGGCCCCTGGTCCTGGCCGTGTTGTAAACCCCCGCCGGTGGCGGCCCCCGTTGCTCCTGCATTGCCGTTGGTTTGGGCCAAGTTCTGCAGGGAGGGAGCCTGCTGGGGGGCTGTCTGCTGCTGGTTCTGGGCCTGAGTCTGACCCGTCGTCTGCTGATGTGGCTGGGTCTGATTCTGGGAACGAACATGCAGGGAGACCAATAACATGCACGGCAAAAGCAATCAAGAGTCTGGCTGTGAGGAGTGGGAGAAAATCAACCGTGACTGAAATCAGGTATTTCCTCGCTTGTAATAGTTCTGTTGTTCGCTGAGCTTTTATTTTTTCTGTGTTGCGAGATGACTGAAATGCAATCTAACGTTATTATTATCTAAACGTCACTATCGTCATGAGGAAAGGAATCTCTGTTTGTCTGCGTGTCCTTGGCATACCTAGATAGCTGCTCATCTGTTTTACGTCACACTTGGGTGTAATAGGGACCTACAGGACTTCGGTGAGGAAGTTAGCTCAATCATACCTTCAATATAGTAAGAAAAATAAATAACCAAGCAAACTTTGCAGTGCGGCTCATTGACAGCACCTCACTGTGGGTACAGCATACAAACGCTACAAGAAGTCTGGAAAACCAGACTCCAATTCCCAAGAGACTTATAACCTTATTGCGTAAAAGAAACCTCTGAACACAAGGAAAAACTTTCCGAACGACAGAACACACATACTTAAAATACAATTTGTTGTATTCTATAAGCTTAGCATGGCATGTCTGATTATCACATGTTTAATTGTCTTTTTGAAAAGTATCCACAGCTGTAGTGACTGTAATAAATAATCCTACATTTGCCACTTTTCTTTCCCTGCCTCTGGCCAAGTAACATAGCTATTTATTACAGTTAGTATTTCTGAGTGAGGATACTATTGTTTCAAATAATAAAAGAACAACTGTCTTACTATAGCATGAGGAATAAACACATTCAAGGTCCCATGAGGACTAGGTCCCACACACCCTTGTTTAACCGCTATAAGAACCACTTACTTCACTTAATCCCGCAAATTTATCCCTGCTGATGGCACCACCTAACTGGACCAATACCAGCGAAACATGGTGCCTATAATCCAAGCTCAGCTCAACGCTCTCTAGCATGTTCCACCTCCAAAAGGCCAAAAAATGCAAAAGACATTAACATCCAACTGAGCAGACTTAAGATGAACCCCTCTAAGTGTGACCCTTGACCATTGTGGTCCAGGTCACCTCATACAAAGATTATTACAACCATGTAAATCACAACCGGTTTTATTTAATCCACATTCAGAGGATGCTCCAAAAGGTCGATTTGATTAGTTTTCGCGAGCGCTGTATAGTTACCTTTTCTGTTTTCTCCTCGGGCTCGTCTTCGTTCAGGAACTCTCGTTTTGGGTACGGTATCTGACACCCAGCAAACACACTGAAGGCAATCACGGAGAATCAGAGATTTAGCAGAATGTTTTACATTTCTACATACTAACCAGATTCATAAATATCAACCGCAAATCACACACTGAATCAAATCAGTAGAAAAACCTCGAAGTTTACTAATGCTCACTCGGTGGTTGGTAATGGCTCCTCCAGGAAGTACGGGTCCTGCAGTGAATGCTCTGATGTAATCCTTTTGGTGGGGTCCATCGTGAGGAGTTTCTGGAGCTGAAGGCAGAAAAGAAAAAAAGAATATTACTAACCAAATTTACAACACAGGCATCTCATGCAGGAGGCGTCAATACAAACTCGTTGTTTGCCTGTGCAATCTTTTTTATGCAAGACCACTAAAAGAAACTCCACAATGGACATATCTGCACTAATCGCAGCACCGAGGATACAGCCTTGCAGCCTTGATTAGTATTAATATAGCAAAATGATGTTAAAAAGGAAATTAATAGAACTAGAAACCTGTTTCTTCCCTTTTTTCTCCCCATCGAAGGGTTTTTCTTGTGCTGATGTGAGGGTTTCGGGACAGAGGATGTCGCATGTGTACACACTGTAGGGCCCTCTGAGGTAAATGTGTCATTTGTGATTCTGGGCTATACAAAATAAAATGAATTGAATTAAAATAAAATAAAATGTTTATATAGATGTGTTCTGTAGATTATGTCATGACTCTACAATGACCATACATCGCGTCAAAAGCAGTTAAATAAATAAGTAGCCAAATGTATGATCTAACAAGGTTGCTCCATGTATGTTTACTCTGTTGGATTGGACGCATCCCTCGATCAAACAGCACAGTTGTTATTCATTACACAGAGCAATGTAATATGCAAACAAGTTTTTTAGATGTGTGCGGGTGATCATGAGTTTGTGCTTACCAGCAGAAAAACCTTGCTCTCTGGTTTGACTTTATGCTTCTCCATGTATTTGATTAAGCTGCTGGTTGCATACCTGGTAGATGAGAAACACAACAATGCATAAAAGAAACCCCCACAAAAAAAAACAGTATTTCATGTCATTCCGTAAGTTTCAGATCTTCACAGCATTCGCTCACGTTGTCCTCCTGAAGTCTTTCTGCAGTGTTGGGTACTCCGGCATCTTCCGAATGTCTTCCCAGTCCTTATCTGGGAAACACAAAGGCACATATGGCCAAGCTCATTGCTCCCACAATGATTTGCAAGCAAATCCCTGCACTTACTGAACGTTTTGCACATACAGTGTGAGGAACTGTTAAGCTTATGTTATGTTAAGACCCTGTGCTAGATTTACTGGTGTTAAGAGGCAGCTAACGATGTCTCAATCTAAGCTGGAAGGAGTTTTGTCACTCAGCCTGCCACTGACTGCGTAGTGTGTACAGGTCACACAGAGCAAGGAAAATCCTAATACAATATAATATATAATAACAGAATTATAACTATATACTGCCAGTAACATATCATTACAGACAGACATTTGCGTTATTGTTTCATTATCGGGTAATTCGAATGAAAGGAATAAAGGAACCGCTCTTTAAAGCTTCTTTGTGGACCTTTAGACCACTAGTAGAGCAATGTTTGCAGCTGCTATGCAATTGTTTCACTAGGATCAAAACAAATGAAAACACAGACTCCAAAGATAACTTCCAAGAATCTCGGCAAGGGGACCTAAAATACTCAACCGAATTGTCTTTAATGCACTAGATATGTATGTGGCAGTAAACCATATATGTCACACGCGGAGATCTGGAACCTCAGTGACATAATACCCTTGATTCATAATTAAATGAAACCAGTGCGATGCCAATGGTTGAGGCTGGTCCCAGGTGTGGTTTTGCCCATGTGTGTTGTGAGCAGACCTGCCGGGAATCCCATGACGCTGAATATCCGGTCCAGCTGGTCATGATGGAAGGGATTACTGGTTTTGATGTCTTCCTGGCGACAGTGAAAGATGGGCTCGGATGTTAGCAGCTCCGCAAAGATGCAGCCAATTGCCCAAATATCTGGTGCATGTACACACAGACACACACACAATCACAGATGCAACTTAGTCTGGGTTATCGTCCTGGAATAAATCAAAGATAGTTACAGCCCCCCCCCCCCCCTCGAAAAGTAGCTTGAGAGCCTGAAAAGTGTGGTTTAGGACAATTTAACAGTGGATCGGGAGTTTGTTTTCCTATATACTCATATAATTTATATTTGAGTCCTTTTCGTCTTTCGTTTTTTTTATATTTAGTTCAAAAGATGACAAAATAGTAAAAACATGAACAACTCCTTAATCCCCAAACTATGCATTAAGTATCATAGTAGTAGTAGGAGCTGCTACAAAGATGGTGAATTGAAAAGTATGGTATTCATTCCCAAATGAAGGGGTCGGAACACAAGGATGTCTCGCAGAAAATTTCTTCTAAGGTACCCAAATAAAATAAAAATAAATAAACATTAACATATGCAGTACAGTTTGGAGCCTTAAAAGGAGCTTGACTGTTCCAATGGTTCTGATAATTGTACTTTAATGAAAATATGTGTATATTTTCAATAATGCATGCATTAAACAAAGTGGTGATCTATCAAATGTGTACCTAGCCCGTTGTGACCTGACTTGTGGTGGTTTGTCATACTTAAAAAGCGTGTTCCTGGAACATTGTTAAGTAAAAACTCTATGGAAGACATTGAGAGCAGGAACATTTTCTGACTGCAAAGACTACACTGAAATAAAGCACGTTGGGGAATTGAATTGAAAAATCAAGTCTCCCATTCATTGTCCATGCAGCAGAACTAGACTTTACACTTCACGTTTCACGTTCTGGGTTAGGGAGTAGCTCAGAATCCATAGCACTCTCACATCTGAAGATGGTACAGATCTTCTCATTTAACTCTAGAATACAAAGTGTTACTTTGTTTAAAAACTTCGGACAATTTAATTTTATATCCGACCTCTGTCTCTTTCACACCTCCCACACATTCTGAGATAATCATAAACACACACCCGCCGCGCACAGCGTGGTCTCGTGTTCCAGGAGAGACAAATATAGATGGCTAGACACACCTGCTACCGATTGAGACCATAGATCACATGGGCTGACCACGGGAATGTGTGTTCCTATTGACACAGTGAGACTTTGGGAGTGCCGCTACAGCCCTGTGATGCTAAGATGGCCACTTCTCACGCGTTTTCAACGGTGGCCAATGACTCACCGATAGCCTTGGTGTAGTGCCGGGCCCCCAGCAGAAGCTCGGGGGCCCTGTACCAGAAGGTCACCACTACGGGGTCGAGGTCCGCCAGCGGCTTGAGGGGAGAGTTGAAGAGTCTGGCAAAACCCATGTCGGCTGTGTGAGGAGTGTAGAGAAGTAGGAGGATGTCAGTGGAAAACAAGGGAGCCCCCTTCAGAGGTCTTCTGCCCCGAGGACCACGAGCCCAGGTACTAACCTACTGTTACTGAATCACCCGACAGCACAAACCTCATCAAAATGCGAAAAACAACTATGACAGTGAAAGCTCTCTCTTCAATTAGAAAGCATTTAAAGCAATAATTATTATTTTATTATTTAATTATTTGATCTTTAATTAGAGTCTGTTTGCTTCTGGCAGTTTGTTGAATACATGCCCTGTTTTTAAGAATGTGTTCTTGTCTTCCAGGAAGTCAGTGAGTTATTCAAAGAAAATGTTTTACTGAAGTCAAAATAATAAAGAATAGGAACTCTAATAGTGCAGAAACTACAAGATGTAAAATATCAAATATAATACCATGTGAGCTTGTTTTAGCACAGAAACAATATAACTTGTAAAAGTAACCTCCGACGTTGCAGCGTCACCCTTAATCAGTCCCGTGGCCCGCCGGCTTCAACAGCACTGATCTGAGCGTCCTGTCGACCTCTGAGCCAGCAGGTTAACCAGCCATGGGACACCCGAACAGGTCAACCGCCTCACTGATCCACCGTCAACACGGAGACCGCCAGTGTCTCAAAGGAAATGTTCCTTACCGATTTTAACTCGTCCCCGCTCTGGACCTTCCCCCATCACCAGGATGTTAGCCGGTTTCTGCAGCGGAGAAGGGAAATAGAAGTGTTAGATAGCAGTGTGCAACACAAACCACCTGGTGCTTGCTTACATTTGCACATGTCATACTTCTGCACAGTGGCCTGCCATGGCACAGTCGGCTGGCCATTGTGTTTAAGTCAAGTCTGATGCTACCTCACACTTCAGCGAATGATATCAGTCTCTTCCACACAATGAGGCATACAGCTCATAGATTAAACACAGATGGGTAACTGGCCAGCACAAAAAAACACTTGTGTTATATGGTTGTTATATGGATAAAAAAAAAGTCAGGATTTCCCAAATTTACACAAACTTAGCAAAATGTACACTGATGTCCAGTCGGCTCTACCGGGGAGCTCATGCGTACATGAACCCTCTGGCAAGGGGATTTTCAGATCTGCCTGGCAAACATGTCTCGTTGCCATGGACATCATGGCAATGATGAGCCTCTATTATTCATACCCGCTACATGACACGCTGTGAATGAAAAGGAACAAAAGTAGACTCCCCCCAAGAGGCCCGAGGAGTTCAGGCTCACCAGCTACTCTTTTATATTCTAAACAGGCCTAACTGAATTAACAATGCAAAACAAGAGTCAGCTATTAGATCTATGTTCAATAAAAAGCCTGAGAGAGAAATAAGTACCGAATTGTGTCTCACCACCCAAAATGTATCATCTCCTTTTATAATTAATCTGGCGAAAGTCTGTTACAGTCACCTGGTTTTATAAACTAATCAGGAGCCGGGGGAAACTGTAGGGTCTAACAGGAGAACAAAGACGGTACGGTCACCCCAGCAAAGTTTAAAAATGATAAATAACTAAGAAGCAATACAATTAAAGTGAAATATGATATGAATATTTCGCAAAATAGAGAAGTCCCCTCGTCCACGGATCAAGATTGGTTAACAAGAGTCTTCTGTCTGCTCCGTCTCCAGCCCAGCTTCTCCAATCTCGTGGAGAAGGTGTCCCTTGTGCTGCGGTTGTATGTGATTGACTGCACATTCTTACTGTCAAGTTGCCGGAGTCTTGCTACTTCGTTGCACATTTCCCCAACTTGGAAGAGGGATTGAATGTTCTACATGGAGGTTTAAGTTACTGGATTCCACTCAAAATTGCTGACCGATTGAATGACCAAGTCCCAGGCAGTAGCTACGTTTCACTTCTTTTCTTTTTATTTTCAGGTTAGCAGCATTTGGTCACTTCATTTGTGATTATCTCAGGTACATTAGTCAGGCAATCAGGTAAAAAAAATCTTCAAAATCAAAACAGAAACATAGAATACACATAAGTCCCCAGCAACATCACAGGCAAAAAATACACTTAAAAAATGAAGTCAAAAGTTAAGCAGTTTAAAGTGCAACAAACTATTTTTTAGCAAAAAAGCCCCAGCGCAGGAGCAGCAGCAGACCTCGATCGACATAGGATTTTAAAACACGGTTGGAAAGTTCCTTCTCTTCCCGGCTGCCTCTCCAGACTTTGCGTGGGTAAGTCAGCTTTGCACAACACTCCATCTGCCGTGACGTTTCTAACAACTCTTTTTACCTGCTGAGCTTGATTAGGCACCTGTTCCCTCTAGATCAGGCACCTGTTGTCCTCCTCTTGGGGGTGTGCACAAGTGATGGAAGTGCAATTGTCCCCTCCCCTCTTCTTTCCTTAAAACCCAAAGTATTCATTTTTGACTTGACACATACGTAGCTCCTCCCTTGTAAATTCCTTTCTGCTCCAAGGCATTCCATGACTCTCTCCCCTTATTTTACTTGATGTCCGAATCTGAAATCCCTCACTGACCTGACCTATCCCTATTCACTTAATATTACAATACATTCAACAAACACACCTTTGGCTTAAAACTTCTTCATGTAAACATGACAAAGCATGCGTAATATTGATATCATTTTATAGCTAGTACACTTCAGTAATAATATATCTTAAATCATCACAGTTATGTGATGGGTTCAACCACTATGTTTAACTTAAGTTTATGTGGTCCAAAATGAAAAAAATTGCCTCGCAGGGCATTCCTACATCCTTTTGCTCAGGAGACAGGAGACAAACACTTTCAAAAAACCTCTTGGGGAAGAAAATGTGGAAGAAATCCATCAAGGGAGGCCTAAGACCCTAGGCTTTACCTTTGCATTTGTGGCAGGATGTTATATGTACAGTAATTAAATTACTTGAATGACAATTAATTGTGTTTAATTCATATTGCAACATTCCAGTTATATCTAACATGCTAAGGTAATAACTAGTATCTAATAACACACAAACTACAATTCTAACACTAATCACTAACTAATCTTTTGCTTAAATCCCTAAAAAAAAAAAACTCCAATCCCGTTGACAGTATGTCTCTTTTTGTTTTAGGAGAGAGCTCTGAGTGTTTCAGGCCTGCCACGCCCCTCCTGTCGCTGGTATGCCAAGCTGTGACGCATCAGGCAATCAGCAAACCCAATATGACCTCCTTCTTGACTGTTCACAAGTCCCTTCTTCCCTTTTTTGGTTTGCTGTGAGTTCTGTGTCCTCAGGTGGCTGAGATTACATTTTGTAGGGTTCTTTGCCATTTGTTTTAATATACTTGTTTTCTCCTGTTTTGTTGCTAAGAGTTCAGTATTGTTTCTGTTTCTTTCTGGTTATTTAAGCTGAACTCTTCATTTTCTAGTTAGTGGGGGTGTTTTGTTTATTGTTTTGGCCTTCGAGACCCTGGGACCAGTTCCTCGTAGGTGGTTCAACAAAGTCGATCAAATGTCTTATTAGCCATCTTAAATTAGCCTGACCGCAATCATTGGGTTATCTCGGCTCCTCAAAGGCTAATTTGCGCTCAAACAGTCTTGTTAATTTGAAGCAGACGTCTGTCATTGGATACTCTCGCTACTTCCAAAGGCGGAAAGTCGCTCACCGAAACCATTATTTTCTAGGAGTACGAAGGCAAATAAACTCATGTATTCCGGGAGAGGGATTCTCCTCTGTCTAATGTTTTTTTCTTCTCTCTCATTGACGTTTTAAAATTTTTTGTAGGGGAGTTTTTCACTGTGCTGATAATGGGGATGGCTATTTAAAATAAAATTAATTAAATTGAATAATAATGGCCAAAATTAACACCGACCCTGTTGCAAGGGCTACAAACCTGGTAAAGTATCACAGGCAACTTAAATGCATAGGCTCACTATAAGTGCCTCATCAGGAATCAGGAAACATTTATTGCCATAATATGTCAGACGTACAAGGAATTTGACTTGGCGGTTGGTGCGTAACAGCAGACAGTATGACAATGGACGACAAGACCACAGTGCACGCGGAATAAAATAAAAAATAATGCTATGGGTTAGTTTAAAATAAAGGAATAAAAGTTAGTAAAAAATATTTAAAAATTAGAAAATAAAGTGCACTAGCGAACGGGAAGTGACAAGTGAAAAGTGTAAGTGACGTGTGCAGTGTGAAAGAAAGTTCCGGTGGGAACGTCAGTCAGTGGGGGACCGGGCTCTGTTCATGAGCCCGACTGCCGACAGGAAGAAACATATATATATTATATATATATATTTATTATATATATATTTAATCAATGAGATTATATTTCTTTAAATGTGCCTGCTGGCAGGAGGCTTCATGGAATGCATCATCTAATGAGAATAATTCTCAACTTTCTGAATATGTAGATGAAAACAAGCCCAAAGAGTCTAATGATACAAATGAATAGAATATATGTACTGTTTCAGCTTATGTATCGTATATATGTATCTGTGGATGACCATGTAGAACTAGGAGTTTTATTATGTGTGTCAATGTGTGTATGGAAGAATCAGTATATTCTCATAATTAGAAATTTGATCAATTGAAGCAGTAAAACATAGAACATCCAAAATTGTATTAAGCGCCAAATAAACCAACAACTTTACGAAGAGCACGACATGCAGTGGCTTTCCAGATTTTCTCTGCATTGCAAGACTGTATAAACAAAGTATACAGTGTGGGAGACAGTGGCTGCAGCGTGTGGTGTGCACCATGTTGTGCTATGGCTCGAGAAAATCTTCTTGTAAATAAATTGTCGGCAGCCTCAATAGTGCTCGTAGTTAGCCACGTAAGACGAACGGGGGCCATGTCTCAAAACTCTTCAATAAATAAACATCAGCACAGAGGCCCTAAAAACCTTGTTTTTTTTTCATAACATTTTTCCTGTACAAGGAGGGATATACAATCCAAAAAATGCCAGTTGCATGTTTGCCTTTGGGATGACTTTAGAGAATACATTTCACTTGGAATAACATTCTCTCTCCATGCAAGTAAAATGAAAAAACAATAATACTACATGGAGTACAATAGTGTCCATTAATATAACAGGAAAAAAACTGCGTTTTGAACATCCACAATGCACTGATGCACAGAACATGAGCCCTGATAACACCAGCTTCAGCATCCTTCCTGTGCTGCTGCAGTGTAACAATGTGGTACCGGCAGGCGAGCGTACAGTACTGTACACATACAGCACAGTACACATACAGCACAGTGCATTTAGTTTGGTCTGGATTTAGCACAACCCCACGAGTTGTTGGTACTGTCTGCTGAAAAGCTTTCTGTTTTGACCTGCAGAGCTGCTAAGTCAGCATCTTGAATCAGCTAGCCGTGCCAAGCAGTGGGCTTGGCACACTTACTAGGCTGTTACATAATTTCTGTGGGGGAGGGTAGCGGTGGGTTGGGTCAGGAAGGAAAAAGGAACTGAGGAGTTGTAGGGCGGGTGGGGGATGGGAGGGCTATGCAATGGTGCAATGCAAAGCACATGCATGGTACCTGCGGGGCAGAGAGCTGCACAGGACGAATACACGGTTACGTAACTGCAGGAGCAGTGGAACCACGGGAGGGTGAGCTGGGAGGGCCCCCTCTCCCCACAGCTCCTGCATATAGACAGCAACATTTCTTCCTTCATGCTTCTCCTCTCATATGTATTAACAAGTTAACTCAAGGAAAGATGTTTAGCGTTCATTTATAAAACGCTGACAGCAATTCGAGGCCTTCGGGGAATTTATTATAAAGCAGCAGCGTGCTCATTGTGAATGTCCACCAATTATCCACCCACAGAGCGAGAAAGCTGACAGCCAGGCACCTGCACAAATATTGATTATCCAACCAGCTATGAGGGTTCAGAAATAATCATTTAGGGAGCTTTTTGGACACAATGGCAGGAAACCCTTGCAGTATGACAGCAAAACAACAGCACTAACTACAATAACGACAGAACAGAGTGAGATAAGAGTCTGACAATGGAAAATTCCATCCGCCCACGATGAAAATAGTTATAAAGGGGGCTGGAGGAGTTGGTGTTCAGATAAGAAGTGGTGTGACCTTCAGGGAGCAAAACAACTGTGCCATTCCTGCAGTAGTTTATGTTATTGTGAAGGAGAGGGGGCTTCCCACTAAGAGTAAGACTCTGCTCTGCATAGAGACTACTAGCTCCGTACCAAAGTTACGTTGGTATTTTACCTTTCTTCAAAAAGCCATGGAATCCATTTGTCAATTGTCACATTTTTTATTAGTATATCATTATCATTGAAAGTGATGTTTCTGCATGTTGTCTGTGTTTTCATCTTAGAGCATTGACTCTTTGACAGTGTGTTTTTCAGTATATGAAAGTTTTGGTCACCCAAAACAATTGTGGTTGAGTTCCGTTGCACTTAGCTGTGCTCTCTCGTATCATCGTATATCGTCTATTTATAGAAAAACACGATGGCAACAAACAAAACTGATTATGGCAAGGGCCAAAATACAAAATGTCTAAGACCAAATCACAAAATGCTGACAGCTAACAAACATCTATTGTCCATAGCGCTGCCCTCTTATGACACTTCTGCAGGAAGACAGAAAGGCCACAGACAAAATCCAAGGTACCGGTCCGTGAGCCAGTTAGTACCACAGAAAGAATAAATATTTATTAGTTTTTGTCATTTGACTTTTGTTTCTGAAAATTCACCGGATTCTCTCAATTACATGCGTTCGTCCCTCACATATTTCCAAAGTGTCACCAAGTTGGTTTTTTTCACATTTACAATTGCCCACTTCTTGCTCTCCACGGCAGTTCCGCCCACAATCGGACAGAGAGCGCGCGACTATACCCCCCCCCCCCCCCCCTCCCTGGCTCAGTTGGTGGATCGGTCCGTAATGACTTGAGATGACCTACACGTGTAACGTTGGTCAGTCCTGTTGGACACTGTATTTAGACGAATTCTGTGCCAAAGCCAGTAAATGACAAAAACTACTTGCAGCAGCGCAGCCGGTGTAAAACATAAGTCTGGAGGGAGGGTGATTTGTTCCAGTACTAAAAAGTGGGGGCTATTCTAGTCAATCACTGGACTTCAGTCAGCACATTTTTATTCAACACTCTGTCATTTCAGCTCGATGATGGCCTCCTTGGCACCGCTGTACGGTCAGATGATTTAATGCCTGCAGAGTTCTCTCTGGTAGATCACCAGAAGTTTATGTAATGCGATGTCCAGCCACCACATGATCACCGAGGATAGCCAGAGATTGCATAAGAATGGACGATCTTATAAACCCCCGTAGATGAACATAGACACCTGAACCAAGTGACTGCTTTCTGACTTTGACCCAGTGTATTCAGAAAACAACGTTATCTCAGCTACATATTACCCGGACTGTGTCAAGTCTTTCCTTCTCTCATGAGAATTATCTCAAGATAGCGTCCCTCCGGTTCATCAGACATCAAAGCACTGACCGCAGTAATCACATTAAAGTTTTGCCACATAATCGGATGGCTTTGGTCGATTATACTTTTAAGCAGAGGCCCAAAATGTTCCTCGCTGGGAGTGACAGATCAAGGGGAGATAAGAGCGAAGAAGCTACACACAAACACACACATAGACACACAGATGGGCTGGGGGAGTTTTATTCCACACAGTCAGATGAGATCATTGTTCCAGCTCAGTTTGTTTCTGAATCTCACATGAGAAAGACACTGCTGCACTGGTTGCTTTCTGAGCTGGCCCACATTAATATGCAAGACATTTTGACATCTTAGAGGAGAACCTCACAGATTTTACACACCAGCATCTGTTTTCAGGTGTTCAGGGTAGTTCTAATGGGGTGACGGTGGCGCATAGAGTAGAAAGGGTGAGCCGGCAACCGCAAGATTGGCAGTTCCAACCCCAGCTGCTCCATGTCGAAATGTCCCTGAGCAAGACACCGAACCCCTCTCTGGTCAAAAATGTAAAAACCATGGGTTAAAAATACAATGTAATTTGCTTTAGATAAAAGAGTCAGCTAAATGACATGTAATGCATGTTTAAAAAGTAGAGCCTTTAGCCTCTCAAGAGGACGCTGTGATCAAAACATCAGACCACCTCAGCCCCCGGTTAGCAGCATAAGGTGTCGGTTTCCGTGTTTCCGCAGCCACCCTCTCCCCTTAAATTAAACAAAAGATTTAAAGGTGCTCAATTCAAAATTGAGAAATTATCTGTTGCCTCCACACAACTCTTAACATGGAGACAGATGAGCCAGCTGCTAAAAGCTCATTGTGCAGGAAGCTGACGGTGCTAACAGCGCTAATAGTGCTAACAACAACAAAAGTGCTGAGAGAGCTAACAGTGTTTACCCGAGAGAAGACTGGCGCATGGGAGCTACACTTATGCCACAATAACGTGGTCGGTCGGGAAAGCATAATCATCTGTAATTGCCGAAAACTGTGCAGAGCGGCGGCCGGGGGGTATGCTTGCATTACTAGTATCATTGCGTAATATTTTTAGAAGAAATAACCAAACAAAATAACAAAGAAAGACATGCCTCATGTTTCCATTTATGTCCTAACCAAATGTTATCTTGACTGGCTTGAATCAATACAACACCCCATTTAGTGGCAAAATGGGACTGTTGTTTTAATTCCTGCTAGTCTGCCATTGAGACAGAAACTTTGAAGACACATAGTAAGAGGCTCTGTGTTCTGGCTGCAGCCTGACTGAGATGCACGGAATGAAGTCTCCCTCCAAGCAAAGCACGGTGGGAAACCAAGGTGGAGCGAGTCTCACAGGAATGAGTAGTGTTTCAGCCGGGTTAACAAACAAAACAACAACACACAGAGTTCAGAACGTTCTGCTCTTTGGCCATCATAATCAGATAATAATAGATAATAGTACACCCCAGCCAGACAAAACAAAACCCCTGAAATGACAAGGCTCTGCTGGTTGGACTGGCTCAGTGTGACCAAAGGGTTAACATTTAGTTAGCTTTTCAGTCACTATCATAGTTATTAACTGAAGGAACTGGAGTATGAGTACTTGCAGGTTCAATTGAAATGTTATTTACCGGTAGCCTAATCAAGAAACTTTTATCCTTTAAAATGGTTAAACGATCCACATTTTTCAGGTTTCCTTCTTGTGTGATGAAGCCACACTTGTCTGCAATGAGACAAACATAAGTGTGTCTCTAACGTTAAAGGTGTCCCTTTTGGAAACAGCTCCAGGACGGCGTGCAGTGTGTGCTGGGGTTTGTGGGTCTGTGATGGGTAACTAAAGCAGTGAAGCTAATATAGCAGCTCACCAAATCCCTGTGCAGCACCCAGTTGGCATGGAGGTAATGAATCCCATCCAGAATCTGATACAGGAGAGACTTCACCATCCCGCGGGGCAGCTGTGTGGGTTTCTTGTTGCCCTTGGAGGCGCGGTGGAACTTGATGATGTGCTACGAGGGCAGTGGTGCATGTCAGATATCACCGTATGGCTGCAACATTCACAGCAAAACAGCCTCTCCACACCGTGGTTTTGCCTGTGATTTCTGCTTATTGTAATGAAATCAGTTTTATTTTGGAAATATTAGGTTTCAGCGTGTACACACCAGCATTGGTGGCATGCGGCACAGAGAGACTCACCCATAGGTCGTGCTCGGCATAGTCGAAGAGGAGCCAAACCTTTCTGTCGCTGTGGGACAGGAACACTTTCTGCAGGGCGATCACATTCGGATGTTTCAGTTCTCGTAAAAGCTGAAAAAAACAACATTAAACACCTGAATCATCTTAAAACAAGACGATGTACATGACAACATCTGAATTCAATGCCAGCTTCTTGTGTAAACACAGCAGATGAGTGATGTTCATGGATAGTTTTTCCGATACCAGTATCAGAAGTGCCTCTGATACAACATAAAAGACAGATCTGAGGCTACTCATTTATCAGCTCATACACAGGAACAATCGTTCATGTCCCTCGCTACCAAATAATATAATGGCTTTTCCGGGACAGTGGTGATAAAAGGTTTGTGAAGTTAGAATGCTGTTGGAAAAAAGAAAGACGAGACAAAGGGCAAATTCCTCCAGTATTCAGTGTTAGCCTTAGTTGAGGTTAGAGCAAAATATATGCCAAAGGTGAAACTCCACATGAGACATACAAATATATTTATTTCTGTGATAAAAGATAAAATTGGACAAAACAACAGTTCTCAAACTTCTGTATTGTGTGTAAATATATGATCTAATGTGATTCCTTGTCTTCTCCCAGTTAATCCTAATGGAGGTATGCAGGGAGACGGCTGCATAATGGAGGACTTTATCCGGAACGGAGCCTCGCTCTCTGTCATCGTAACGTGCTCTTTTTCTGTCTTTCTTCTTAATTTTTTATTCAGCCATCACACATAACACAATAGGAGGGGAAAGGCTCGGCAGAAGCACAATGCCTACACATGTATATAGTCTTGTCAATCAAGCCACCCTCAAAAAAAAAAATAGAAAAATTAATTGACCTAACAAAACACTTCATGAATAAAAATGAGTTCCTACATTAACCCTAACCCCAACGATAGAAATACATATCTTTTGAATCCCCTTTTTTGCTTTTTGTTCATCTCTCACATCATATTTACAGACTAAACAATAACCTTTGTACACAGTCTGCCAGTGCCTTTGATCATTGGTTTCACCCACATCCCCGTTCACACACATGACATTCAATGACCCATCTAAAACACCATCCATAATCAATCGCGCTCTTTAGACAGGCCCCAGAGTCTGCAAGGTGTTTCAGTAGGGAGGGCAAACACAAGGGAAACACAGAGAATGCCACCCTATGAATTAATTATTCACCTACACAGGCTGTCTCCCTGTACTTCGCCCACATTAGACTGTGACTCCCCTGTGGTCCTTCTTCAGTCTGCACTTTGCTTTTTGGCTTCACATTTTTTCCCGTTCTTAGACACATGCCGGCTGACTCGATTTCCACTTGCTAATTTCCAAGTAACTGATTACTGTGTTATTTCCTAACACATTAGGAAAAGTGAACGACAGACAATGCAGCAAATACAAGCCTGTTGACGTGAACCTGCAGCTTAGTGACTCTCACACACTCCCAAAAGGTAACTAAAGCTGTGTGCTAACTTATTGTATTAGAACCAGGTCAGTAACCTTGCTGAGAAAGGCTTTGCATTTCAGCAATCCAGTGAAACTAATCTAACAGCTAACAGGCTATACTTTTATCATATACCCACTTCATTATGAAGAGCATCATTCGACTGTCTAGAAGAGTGTGTCAGGATGCTGCTGCTCTTGTCTGCCGTCTCTAACATCAACACACAGATGCGTTTTTGTGCTCTAAAGAAAGAAGTCAGGTATAAAAATGTATCAGAATGAAACTCAAATTGAAAAGGCTTTCTAACCTGTGAACAATTTGTTTTCAGCATTTCCATTGTCCAGGAAACAGGAATTTGGTTATTATTGGCGGCAAGGAATGTGGGCAAAACTCCGGCTAAGCATTGTTTGCCTAAAGTTTGAGAGCAAGGTCGGAGATAACAGGGGCCTTTGACATCCTGTGTCCGTGTCCTGGTTCATTTAAATAACGACTAAACATAACTTTTAACTATAGTCTATGTTGTTATTTGAATACCGCTAAGAAAAATTAATAATAATACATTTATAGAGGTATTGTAATATTGACTTTGGGAACTTTAGATTCCTGACCCACTTGCGCCACAGCTAGACAAGTACTAAAAATACATGATGCTGAACCCATGGACTGTATTTGACATTTCGCTCCACTGTTACAAACACAATAAATAAGCCACTCTTAGTGACATATTTCTTTATTCCGCGGGCTGCAGCTATCTGCTGATCATTTTCTTGGTTGATCGATTAATTTTGTCAATACAATGTCGGAAAACCGTAAAAAAAAAAGGCCATCGTAATTTCCCAGAGCCCAAAGCGATGACCTCAAATGTCCAACAGTCCAAAACAAAGAGGATATTGCATATTTTGTTAACAGTCATATGAATAATGAAAATAATATAGAAAATAAGCAAATCTTCGTTTGTTCACTATTCACTACTTCACTATTGTCACCTTTGTTGGTAAAGCCTTCTGTGTTCCAATTGTGTGATTGTGCTCCAGCTTATTGACAAGGCCGCAACACCAGCATTTCTATATTCCCTCTTAGCAATGTCCTGGTAGACCAAATAAATATCTAAATAAATATATTTAAAAACATTCATAGCAAACATAGCTAAGCTCCTCCCACATCTTCAACATGCTCACTGCACACACCCTGTATCATTGAGTAAAGGTGTTGTTACTATTACCTTGGATGCATTTCAAATCAGCGTGCAGTGCCTCAGGCTCTCTATGGTCCTACTCCACCACATGGACAAAGCTTTATGTTTTAAGCCTTTGGTAAATGAATACTTGTATCATCATTGCTTTTTTTTCATCCATGATGCTATTATCTGTGTTGCAATGACTGGAATTTTACAATACTCTTGACAAACCAATTGCAGGGTAAGGATAAAAATAAGGAAAGGGTAAGGAAATCAATGGCCACATCAACTTTGTTCCTGTTTTCCCTTTTCTTTGCAGCAGCAGGGCCACATATTCAAACGAGGCGAGACGCGGCAGAATAAATAAGGCTCCTGGTGTCCAATCTTCACTGAGAGCTGGAGCGTTGGTGTTGCTGTATCATGGCAACCTGACACAACCCAAGTGTCTCAGCTGGAGAAAAAATAAACTGTGCCTCATTGCCCATCTGTTTTTAACAATGAAAAAGTAGTTAATTCCTTTTAAAACTGTCCTCTGTCATTTCAACAGCAGTTGAAATGTAATGTAATAATAGCTTAACAATTAAGTGTATCTGTGTCACAATAAAAACTGGATAAATAAATTAAGTAATGAGGAATAATACCACATAACACAGCAAGAAGGTCCTGGGTTCAACTCCGCCCAGTGGGCTTTCTGTGTGGAGTCTGCATGGTCTCCCAGTGTCTGCGTGGGTTCTCTCCGGGTACTCCGACTTCCACAGTCCAAAGACATGATCTGGGGATCAGGTTGATTGGGGACTCTAAATTGCCCGTAGGTGTGTGAATGGTTGTATGTCTCTATGTTACCCCTGCGCTTGGCTGGCGACCACTCCAGGGTGTACCCCGTCTCTGGGAAGTTGGCTGGGATAGACTCCAGCACCCCTGCGACCATGTGTGCAGGATAAGCAGTTTGACAATGGATGGATGGATGGTGTCTGCACCAACCAGCGCTCGAGAGGGCGGGACGTCAGCACTGAGGTGAGAGCAGCGGCCAGTTGCTTGACATCAACCAATCTCCCACCTGGTGTTGCCTTCCCAATCAGGGGAGGTATTTAGGAGTGGCCCTGACGTCTCTTCCCTGCCAGATTGTTGGTCTTGTCGTTTTTCCGATCTAGGCACCTGGTGGGTTGTGTTTTCCCGTGTACACACCCAGGGACCTGGCTACGTATTTCCGCACCCCCTGCATCATAACAACCTGGGATTCCGAACCGCCATCACCACACTTACTTGTTTTTCCGTATTTGCCCGCAACAAAATAAATTCTTTGTCACCCGATTTGATCTTTGTTTGGGTCTGTTCTGGTGGAGAATACCTGACAAACAGCTGCCAAACCGTTGCTTTATATTGATAAGTAATGGAATTAGTGAGGTATTAAGTCTTCCTCTACGATCTTGCCAGGTTCTACTTTTTCTCCACGGGATTATGCTACTAGTACTGGATTGACTAATTGTCGGCTGGTTTGTTAGACCTGTTTTGCGTTCTCTGTGCGACTGGAGATGAGGGGAAACATCGTCTTTAACCTTAAATTCAAATGAATTCATCAAATGAATATATTGCCAAGCTCTATCACTTCCAGTACCAGTTATTGATCCCACCATTGTCTAATCACCTACACCCCCTGGAGTACTTATACCCCAAGTGTTGCAATCGGCCAGACGCTTTGGTGTCTGTGTCTCACACTCCAGTGATAGTCCTGTTATGCCTTTGCCTCACTCTGTTTTGTCCCACCGCATCGTGCTGTCTGGGTCATGGGATTGAGGGAACAGTATTTGGACATAAACGGAACTTAGCTGATTATTTTCTTAAAAGGTACAGTGTGTAGGATTGCAGATTGCAACCAACTGAAACTTGGGGGCACTATGGGGGCTAAGAAGTGTGAGAACACGGAACTTGGTGAACTATGTGGATATTAAGGCTCATTTTAAGTCAACGGAAACACAAATATTGGCGTGATTACACACAAAAGAAAACTATTATTTTCCATATGTAGATGCTACACATTGTACGTATGTGAAACATGTACCTATCTCGGCCGCAAACAAATTTCCCCGAAGACTTGTTTAATGTTTGCAACCCAATGGTTTAATAATATCAAACAATACGTCCTGGGAAAGCGCCACGGCGAGCACTAATCACACGTCTGTAATCCGGACTGAGCCATGGTGAGCCAGGTGGCCTGTGGAAAAACACTCCATGTGCACACAATCTTGTGACTCACTTTAATGTGCTGGTAGCTAAAGGTCAGCTAGTGCAGAGGATTGACATCTGAACGTCAGCGCCATGTTAATCTGTTTCTATTGCAAAAGACGTAGATGATCAACATGGTTCACTACTGAAAATCCTCATCCAAAACTGTATACTTTGCCCCCCTTCCGATTAAAATAGGTCAGGTTTTTATAAAGGTCCGATAGAGAAAACCGTCACTGGGCA